TCATCATCAGTATTATCATCGTCAGTATCAGTATCATCATCACCACCACCACCACCGCCTTTCACCTTCATCCTATTACGTCGATCCGTTCGCTATGGTTGCTATGGATGGTTTCAGTTACGCCTGTATCGTCTCAGTGGAGTGGACATAGGTTGCTTGTAATGGATGTGTGTAGGTCATAATAGGCCAAATAACAATAATTTCTTGTTTCCCGTCCCCTCCCTCACCATTTTTGGGCCCTCATAATTTTTTTTGTTATTTTTAAAATTTTAGGGTGTTTTTACATCGAAAATGCAAAATTTTAATTGCTGACACATTTTATAGTTTACAAGTGCATTTTTAAACACAAAGAACATGGTAACAGAAAGAGAAGCAATGGCAAGACTATTGACAAATTGTTTACAACACATATTGCTACGCAGAGAACATTCTTTAGCATATTTTAACGAACTGTGAAAAATAACAAATATCAAATAGGCCTACAAACTCCCTTGTAGGTTTCACGGGGTGAGTTGTTATGGCTTAGTGTGGTCTAAAATGTGATTTTAGAGTTACTGTAGACCATCCACAATATTAGAGATTGGCAGTCAAAATAACGCTATTTGGATAGGCATATTATAATTTGTTATTGGACGACAGGACTGTCCGATAGGGGAGGGGAAATTCCCGGTCCTCTACTGGCTTCACAACTTATTACAGGCTCGTCATCTTGTAGGCCTACACACCGACTCACCGAGTGAAATTTTAGCTGACGGTCAGTTACTCTCTGAGCCTTGTGCATAGTGTTTGATTTTGCTTTAAATTATTAAGCTTACAGCGCATAAAATCGCCGTTGTCTATTCGAAAAATGACGGATGTATTAATGGACGATTAGAAAGATATTTTGTATCGCATCTTTATAAATAAGAATCGGGTTTCATAAATCATTTAGGCCTACTTATCCGCAATGCGGATTAAGAGGTTGCCATACCAGTGAAGCATATGTTCCATATATTATCATAATTATTATAGAATTGACCTGCGTGACCTAGCCAATTGCCATACTGCTTTGGCATGTCATACAATCGAATGCAAACATACAGTAAGAGTAAACCACGTTCAACAAAATCAACCATACAACAGTCTTTCATTGTATACTGTAGTGCCACTTATAAGATCAAAAGTTTCCCTTTCCTCTTGAATACACATGGCCATTTAAATAATTGCAAACTATTGTCAGAAAACGGTTATAATGTAATGTGGTTGTTATCAGGAGCGGATCCAGAAATGTCCAAAAGGGTGGGGGGGGGGAGGGGGGGCCGAAAGTTGGGCCGATTGAGACACCGGAAGGGGACCGAAAGTTGGGCCGATTGAGACAACAGTGTCGTAGGGGGTCCGGGGCATGCCCCCGCGAATTTTTTGTGTTCTAGACGCCCGAACATAACATTTGAGGCATTCTGGGCTATCATTTTTTTCTTTTTCTCTCTTTTTTCCCTTTTTTTTTACCTCTCAAAAGGGGGGAGAGGGCCGGGGCCGGGCCGCCCCCCCCCCAAATCCGCCCCTGGTTATAGTGCGTTGAAACAGAAGATCTTTGTGTCCTTGGACTTAATAAAACATTGGAAGGGCAACGCTTTGTGTATAAAATATAGGGAAAGACCCAAAATATAAATTCCCCGTATACTTAGCTTGTTAGCACTGGGTAGAAATGGATACCCTCAGTACTTGTGGCAATATTTCTATTTCTATGGTAGTTTATGCTGTTGGCTTGCCCAAAAACAAGAATATCATATGGTTTTCCTATTTTGCCTAATAAACTTCGACGGAAAAAAGGCTCACAATTAAGGCGGTCACTTGTTATAGGGAGTCACTTAAAACACTTATCAATGCAGTGGTCCCAAGTTGAAAGACTTATGGAAGAACTGGTTAATTGACATCAAATTGTATTGTGGTACCCATTACCAGCTGACTTCCCGCAGAAAAACAATAGTAAAAACATGTAAATATAATACATTTGCGGGAAATAATTTATCCGGATCAGGCAATGCCGTAGCCAGGATTTTAAAAAGTGCGGGACAATATCAGGGTGGACCCACTTTAAGCGTAATTCAAACAATGTGGACCCATTTTACGCAAAAATACGAAAAATCTGGACCCGTCTCCATTTTAAGTTAAATATGAGAAATCTGAACCCATTTTTCAAAAAGTCCATGGACCCATTTAAAATCACATAATTTGGACCCATTTAAAAAAATGTGGACCCATTCTTTGTGGACCCATAGAAAAATTGTGTGGGACTGTACCAACTGTCCCAATAGCTGGCTACGGCATTGGGATCAGGCGAATATGGGTGGGTGCGAATATGTGGAAAGTGGACCAAAATGGGGGGGGGGCGCTAATGACATAGGCCTGGCCCTTCTGAAGTCGAGTGAGGGGGGGGGGGGGCTCTAATGACATAGGCCTGGCCCTTCTGAAGTCGAGTGAGCCAGGGCAGGGCCCCCTCGCGCCCAGACATTTTTAATATTTTGAGGTCTTAATAGATTTTGAAGATGCAATATGAACTGATTACGTTTTTCGGTGGCAGTCCATGGGATGGGGTGGGGGGGGGGGGGGAGCCCCGGGGGGGGGGGGGGGGGGGGGGGGGGGGGGGCAGGGAGGCACCTTCAGAGTTGGAGGGTCGATATGGTGGGGGCAGAGGTAAGAAACTTTTTAAATTATGGCACACCCCTATGCAGCCGGAAATGCCACTCTAAGACTTTTTTTTTTAACTAGGGGACCCAATGTAATTTCAATGTAATTGAAATCATGTGGAAATGTCATTAACTATACTACGGGTTGACATATGTCAACATACTATGTAAAATTATAACACATGGTAAATAAAACATTAAATTTACACGTAAAAGAAATAATGTAGGCCTAGGTCTATTGCACAATGAAAAAAGCCTATAATATTATTGGGCATTGGAAATACTAATTTTTTATCATAAATGTAAATGTTATATTATAAATAAATGTAATTAATGGAAATTGCGAATATGAGCAAATAATAATTAATACAAGCGCTTTACGTCGTGAGATGTATAGACGTCAAAAATATATAAAATCGAGAATTCGTAAAATAAGCCTTATAGTCTGATCTGATTGAAAACAGGGTATTGAAAGCAATAAATTCCTTTTGTTGTTGTTTTGAAGCGAATACGTCCACCACCTACCGGGCCAGGAAGGGACTTTAACCTACGGGGGACGTGACGGATTCAAGAATTCGAAATAGAGGAGAGTCCAAGGAGAATTTCACCGAAATAGACCCTGGGTCCACCCACCTCAGCCGGCCCCCATCATGGTTGGGGTTGAGGAAAAGAAAATTTGATTATAGCACCTCCAGATGGTCGCAGCCTTGAATATAGCTTATACCTCCATGGTGAAACCTATAGAAAGAGAGAAGATGAGTTTGTACGTGGCGAGTTAATTGACACGCAAATTCCTCAAAAAGCTTATAAATACAGTTAAAAGTCCTTGCTTGTATACAACAAGAGGCAGTCCTGGGAAACTGCTTTGATTGGTCAAGGAGTTTTGGTGGGTGGATTTCTGGAACGTGAGAGTAGTGAGTCTTGACTTTTCTATCCCGGAAAATGTGGACCTTCGGTAATTTTGTATTTATTTTTTTTTGGGGGGGGGGGTTTGTGTACGCAGCCACCCGTCGCACTACCCCCCCCCCCCTTGCTTACGGGCCTGCGGATTGTTAGGGAAATGTTTCCCTTCTTAAGGGAGGGAGGGAGGCCGCCTTCTCGCTTTCCGGGAAACTCTGTGGGAGACTTCCGTAGGCCTACGGAAAAAGATGTATTTTCAATTATGCTAATTTGCATAAGAATGGATACACAGTATTTGTTAATTTAAACAAACATAGAAAATAGTATTTGCATTCGGACCTAACCGTAAATACACGTCAGTAATAATATACAAAATAGTGGTACTGTATGCATATGCAAATACAGAGTTAGTTTACATTTTCCCAATTCAGTGAACGACTTTTTTCACAGACTTTAATAATTGACTTGAATAAACAAACATATTGCTCTTTTAGCACGAGAAGAATTTATGTCGATTGTTCGTTCCAAGACACTTGGTCTAGGACATTTATTGATATTTCATACTGGTATGTCATATAAATAATGCCATGACGTTTAATCAGATCATTTATATACCGCCATTATCGGATAGACATAGGCTTTCGAGATCGATCGAGCTTAAATTGACGAAATTATAATTACACTGTAGAGGGCAGTAAGCTCATTGATTTGGTTGTAATAAATCGAGATTATTGCAATTGATTGTTGCAGATTGTTACACGCAACAGATTATGGTATTTAATTGGTAATTTCTTATCTAATTTGTACGCTCATTTATTGGTGATTTAACCTCATTAAAAAATATATATCTAATACTGTAATATTAGGACGGTAGGGCCTACATTGATATTTCCGTTTGAAGTCCTGCACATTTGTTAACGAAACAATCCATAATAATTCATTCGAATTCTAAATTCGAAAATCTGGTAGGGGAGAGGTACTTTTTAAAATAATATATTTCACACGTATCGTCACATATATATTTCCCCCCAAAAATGGATCATTCCGGCTTGGCGATCAACCATAACAGCTGATCGATCAGAACAGTGCCACAAATTATGTCGTCCCACAAAACGCACGTGCTTACCTACAGGCTTTCGCTGTTCGTTTTGTAAAACCTTAAGCCGAGCACTAACTGCGTCGTACGACCGTCGCACGACGAATCCAACTCCGCTCCCCATGAGTCCTAGACGACGCGACGCCGTCTGCTGATTGTCGGTGACAATCTGAAGGGATCGTTGTTAAAAACGATCTGTTCCGTGCCTGCCGTCGCGTTGCGCTCTTTATAAAATCGCGTCGACCGATGACCGCAGGCCGCACCGAGTGACCGGCCTTAGCGAAACGGACCATTAATTTTGTGAGCATACGTTTTATTTTTTTTGTGTTCATTTACAGATGACTACCACAGTTGTCACTCACCAACCAGGCATTATCGCCCAAAGTCAAGTCGTTGTTCAGGTCAGTAGGATTTCAGTTGCTTCAATTGTCATTGCATTGGCATTGCATTTTTTTTAAGGAGTACTACTGTATTATTGTCATTGGAGGGCTAATAGGGGACGTGACAGGAGCCAGCTGGGAACTGAGGCTATTTTAACCCACTCTAGTGTATTTTTTAAAATTTTTATTTTATTCATTCATTGTTCAACAATATAAAAGAGAAACATAGCAATGGTACAAGCAAAGCTAAAATGTGTATTTTTGGTCAAATTTTCAGTGGTAGGGTAGCATGGGGGCACAAATCCTAATTAAAGACCCCTCCAAATAAGACCACCTCTATTTTATAGACTACAGCGATAAATGCCTTTCATTTTTATGATCTTGGCTACAAGACCATGAACCACAGTCCCAAAAATGGCTAGTCCTATATTTTGTTAAGGGAGACCTGCAACAACACATAATGCACTAATTTTACTTTGAATATAATAGGTAATGGTCGTAAAAAGTAAATTTACGAGCATTTGTAATCTCGTAATGCTTGTGTAATCTCTTTAAATGATCAATCATTTTGTCGCAGGTTACTGAGCGCGACTGGAGCACAAGCTTATTCGGCTGCTTCGAAGACATTGGCTCATGTAAGTAAAGGCCAATCTTTATGATCAGTTTGAGTTTCCCCATTTTTATTGAATTGAATAAATAGGTTACCACCTCAGCATGAAGCCGATGCCCCCAGTAAACCCCAGTTCAACAAGTGGGGAGTGGGTGGTATTGAACATAAGTAAAAATTCATTGATATGTTGCCACAATGAATCTTTCGGGATTGTCAATCAAACTTACTAAACTGACCAATCCAAACAGTGCCAGGAATACACACGTGCCCTATACACCGGATATTCCCCCCCCCCCCACAATCAGAAGTTGAGCATTTTGATCTTATCCAACAAACTCTATATAATGAATGACATTTTTTCCTGTTTGGATCAATTTAGGCCTCTGTGGTTGGTTGTGTTACCCATGTTTCGCTTGCCAGGTAGCAACTAACGCCGGCGAGCATTGTATTACACCTTGTTGTGTCCCAGGAGCTATGATTGCCCTCAGGCTGAAAGTCAGAGCTCGACTGAATATTCAGGTAGTACTGCCTACTTACTCTCTTTGTTTTGAAATAGAACCATTCCTACAACTTGTCCTAATTACATGTAGGCCTACTGTAATTATGTATTAAGCACGGGGTGCTATACACACTGAGCTCGCACTCATATGTAAGCTGCAATCCGCAATTTATATGGAAATTTGGTTGGATTGAATTTGTCTGCTAATCGCCCATGGGCTACAACGAACGGACTTGATAATAGAAGAGGTATTTTACAGGGTATAAACGGCGCCTCGAACAAAAACTAATAAAAGTATAGCAACTAATAGGAGTGATTTTTTGCCTTACCTGACGTGATATCGTACCGTACGTCCCCAAATACTAGCGAAAAAAATTCGTGATTCAGGTGGGAATCGAACCCACGACCTCCCGGTATCTAGCCTGATGTCTTAACCATTAGACCACAGAGCTTGCGCTTGGTGACTAGTGTGATGAATCCGATCCCCTAGCAGCAGCGGGTACTGCAAGTGCTATAAAGATATGAATTTGAATCACTTCTATGAAATATCATAGAAGTGATGTTTTGCCCTACCTGACGTGATATCTCTCTGACCCGTAACCATGGATTTGAAGCATTCTAGCATATAAATGATGTATTTAATGCAAGGGGAAAGGGCGGTTCAGTTAATCAGAAGGGGTTCGCTCGAAAAAAAAAGGCCGGGTTCGTTTAAAAAACCCTTTCCCCTGGTTGTGGGCTTACTTTGCAACTTTAGGCTTAGTCGTAGATGTGCATTTCATGCATTTTACAAATAAAATAACGAATACACATTCTCTGTTTTTGATTTGGAATTTTTGAGGTTGGCTTCCATTGTGTTTTCGTTTGTCGAATTACTTGTGAATGCAAGGAATTTTGCCTGCGGGCTACGATTGTATTGTACTAATACAGTATCTCATGTATTAAATTTTAAAATACTGAATTGATGTTTTTTGTAATTTTGTATAAATATCACTATTATTTTAACCCTGAGTTTGATGTTGGCTTCATTCCTTGATCTTAAATTTACGAATTCTTACTTTTTATCTTTCATATCGGTAATACAATAATAACATCGGAAAGATATGGAACGGGCATTACTCATTTTTGGCTGGGTTTTCTTGACCATTTAAATTTTTTTTTTCGGCAGGGATCTTTGTGTAACGATTGCCTTGTTGATACTTTTTGCGGACCTTGCTCAGCCTGTCAGATGCATCGGGAGATCAACAACTCCTCCAACGGTCACTTGCAGTAAGGCAATAGCGCCTTCACCATGCGACTCTGACTGACCAACATTATCATCCTATTATAAATCCTATACTGTATTTAAACATCAACGTAGTTTACTGTTCAAAATGAAATAATTATAAGAATTGTTAAACATATTTTTATCGGTACACTATTTTAACGAATTTTAAGACTGTATTACTGTTTTTCGCGGATTGATTCAATCTTGATAAAGTCTACATGCTTCCCATGACGGAGATGAATCGTTTACAATTTTTTGCGTCAAACCCAATGCCGTAGCCAGGATTTTCTAACAGTGCGGAATAATATCAGGGTGGGCCCACTTTACGTGTAAATTCAAATATTGTGGGCCCATTTTATGCAAAAATGAAAAATCTGGACCCATTCTTCTAGTAACTTTTAACCCATTTTAGGTTAAATATGAGAAATCTGGACCAATTTTTCAAAAGGTGGACTCATTTTATGCATAAAATTGCATAATTTGGACCCATTTTTAAAAGTGTGAACCCATTATTTGTGGACCCATTAGAAAAATTGTGTGGGACTGTCCCAAACTGTCTCAATAGTTGGCTACGGCATTGATCTAACCTTCTACATCTATTGATTTTGTAAGAATATAATTACCACTGTTTTAGCTATTCACATTTATATGACTTTCGGATCTGAGTAGTATAGGCTATATTGATTGCACTTTCATATAACTTTTACACCAGCAGAAATATTTCATAGCATAGTTCCGTATCATAAGGTTTGTCGGTAACCTCGGATGTTCGGCTAACACGGGTTGTCTTCAAACTTCAAAAGTCCAACTGTTGCTGCTGGTCATACCATAGAATTATTAAAAGTACTTTACCAACATCTACAAACACTAAGTGTAATAGCAGTGGTGACGTTACAGCCGAAAATAGATAAGTTTATATATAACATTTATATACTGCTTTCATTAACCTTAAAGAACATTCTGAAAATACCCCGATTAATTTTGGTTTCATTCTGCTCAATATATTGTAGTATATTATTCAATACTGTAGTGTTCTGGTTTTTGGTAATCAAGAAAAAATAGCGACGTAGAGTAGTCGTTTCCATTTGTATTTTAATATGTTAAAAATCAATTAGCATTTTGGAAAAATAATGAATATTTAACACTATTGTTAGTTTTGTGTATATAACTGTAGCTCATGATCATGCATTCATTGTTTTGTATTTCTATTAGAACATGAAGCTATATAATTACCGTATATGATTATAGCTTCATGTTTAGAAGTAGGCCTAGCATTTTGTGCACCTCTGTGTTCTGACATGCTGGAAGACAGGTTTTTAATAGGCATTGCTTTCTGTGCTTTCTGATCTTTAATAAAGCTATAAAAATAAAACATTCTTGTCTCAGTACTGTTTGCTCAGTTAACTGTGTTATTATAACATACTATAAAGTTAAAGACATTGTGGTGTTTGTAATATAGGCCTACCTGACCTCTCACTGGCTAAACCAAGAGGCACGGGATTTTAATCGGCATTTTTTTGCTAGGACCATTGACTCTAAATTGACCAAGCAGGAGTCGCTACTACGCAGGATATAAAAAAACCCCCCCTCAAAATCGATTCATAGGCGCCCCTATGCGTTTCTATAATATTCCCACCCCTATTTTTGTGGGTTATCTTTATGAATTTCTTTTAAAATTATAGATAGGCCTACATTTATTCAAAAGTTCATTTACGTGGAAGCGACATATGGAGGAGGAAAATTTTGAGATAATAATTGGGTCTTCGTTTTATAGACATCCTATGTATGGGTGTGTCTATGTCCCTATATTTTTCTCATATTTTAGGGTGTGTCCTTGGGCAAGACACTTAATCTACGCTGCCTCTCTTCATCCAGGAGTATAAATGGACCCTGGTAGGTGGTGAATTCGGAATGACATTAGTAGAGCTGAATTTCATAACTAACCTCGTGTAGCGGAGGAGATTGCACATTGTGTTTCTATAGATTCTACATCTGATGAATAGAGGGGAAATTGCCTTTTTATGCAGTTCTTCGAAAATTGATGGTCCGCTTATAAATCTTATAAATATAATAGAAATTACCAGGGTCTTGGTGGGTCGATGATTCAGTGAGGGGAGATAGCAAAAAACTTGAGCGCAGTGATTTTGCTTAGAACATTTCTATTGAGGGGAGGTTGCACCCCCACCTCTAGATACACCACTGGGCTGTATAATAATATATTTGAGCGGCCATTAGGGAAAGGTTGAACCTGGTTCTTTTACGATCGCGTTGCTCACGCAAACGAATCAGGGTGCATTGCTAGCTGACCTGCGCAATCGGGAAGGCACCCTGATTCGTCTGTGAACCACAACTGTCACGACTGTCGATAGAGTGAGCGACTCTATGGAAACCGAGCTATAACTCTGGATCCGTGCCTGAGAGGTCCCTATTCTGAAAATTTTCTATTTCCTCAGTTGTTGCTAGACCATCGGACTCCAAATTGGCAAAGCGGGGCTCGCTAATAAGCCGAACAAAAAAAATCCCTCATTATCGATTTATAGACAGCCTTTAGGTGACGTCTTCGTAGGATAATCGAAATGAAGATGTGTGCTTATAAATCCTGTAAATAAAAATACATTACATTTACATTTACATTTTACATTTGATTGTAAAAGCCTCAGAATCTTTGTTTCTAGAATCTAGGGGCGAGGGATGATTAATTAGTGTGGGAAAGCTAGTTCTCTATGATAGCCGAAAATCACTAATGAGAAATTTGTTGGCACTTCATTTTGACTATAATGGTGATATGATGCTGATGAATTTTACTGCAGGAGTGTCATTTCCAGCCAGCTAGAGGTACTATTTACCCATATTTCGCGCCTCAACTCCAACCAATGTGGGGCTGAGATGGTGTAAATTAAAGTAGATACATCAAGGTCATTTTCTTTTAAAAGTTATATTTTCGATGGTCCATCACACAGATTCAGATTATTTAGATCTCTATGATTGCCAAAAATCGCTGATATTGTCATGAGAAATTTGTTGTCGCTTCATTTCGACTATAATGGTGATGTGATGATGATGAATTTTTCTACATTAGAGTCATTTCCGGCCATCTAGTGGTACAATGTACCCACATTTTCTAACCATGGTGGGGCTGGGATGAGTGTGAACTCACGGCTTTAAGTAAGGTAAAGTAAATACTTATCACAAAAGACATTGCTTTAAAGTTTTATTTTCTATGGTACATTACACATATTATTTAGATCTCTATGACTGCTGAAAATTCTAGATAAAAGATCATGAGAAATTTGTTACCGCTTCATTTTTTGACTATGGTTCATGTGATGATGATGAATTTTACTATTATAAGAGTGTCATTTCCGGCCATTTAAGGTACTATTTCCTTAAATTTTCTATGTTACATCACTCATATTATTAATTAGATCTCTATGGTTGCCGAAATTTGCTGATTATGAAAGATCGCGAGAAATTTCATAATAAGGGTGATGTGATGATGATGAATTTTACTATACAAGAGTGTCATTTCTGGTCATCTAGAGTGTAGTACTATTTCCTCAAATGTTCGCACCTCAGCCGCAGACATGCTGGGGCCGATCTCACGGAATGCCCCCCCCCCCACAACCTTTCAAAACAGATCTGTGCCCTTTTCGCTAACATGCTTGGTCAGTTTCTTCAGGTGGATTCGTGTCTGACAACGATCAACCATTTGTGCAACAAGCCACTTTCATTCTAAAATGTTAACTTGAAAATATCTCAACTAAATTTTAATTTCTTTTTATTAGTTCTGTTTTAGTTCCTGCTTTTCTTGTGATGCTTGTCACTTTCAATGCATTTGCTCCTTGAGTAGTTTCGCTCAAAAACTTACTTAAACATGTGTGCTTGTACGACACGCGTCCAAGCTCTGTTTTGATTGGTCAATTGTTACGTTTATGTAACACCCTGGAAAGGTTCCTTTTATTATCATACACAATTTTACATTTTCTCAATGATTGAACAAAAGTGATTAAAAAATATTGCAGGCACATTATACAGTACTTGGTATGAGAATAGATAAGTATACCGTATTTTAAACACGACTGCATACAAATCGTAAAATCGAAAACAAACGCAAATAAATATGTTCAGAGCACACCAAGAAACTGCTTTATTCCCAACTCTGTATTCCTTATTGCTTATTAATAATCTGCAAGATTAATAATCTGCAAGATCTTTAAACATGATTGCAATTAACATTTAAGCCTATAATTCAATTCCCATGATTCAATTCAAAAATTTATTTCTGCAACAATTAATCCTGATTTAATTCTATGATTATTACTTAACTTCAATGATATACAGTAATTCAATTATTTGATTTCCTAATCCTGTGGTTTTTATTACATAACTTAATCCTATGATATTGATTTGACCTTGATTTAATTCATTAATAATTTATGATTTTATTTCATTTCTTAATCCTGTGGTTCAATTACATGAATTTATCCTGTGATATTGATGTCATCCTGATTTAATTCAATAATTTAATCGGACTATGATTTTATTGCCATGATTAATTATACCAAAAACCACACAATATTAATAATTGCTAATTAGAAATTTAGTATGTTAAGAGTCAAAAATATAACCTACATTTATCTGTGAAAATCATACACATACTTGTTACATAATTAAATAACAATCACAACATAACAATCGTAATATATAACAGTTTATCTGCTAACAGTTAATTTTTTTTAATTAATTTTGGATATCACTCAATAGTTCAAGCAGGAAAAAATAGCATATCAATTTTTTGCAGTGAAGATGATTCTGGTTTTGACAGACAAAACTGATGGCACAGAAAACAACTCTTGTTTTGGCACATGTACGTTTCATTTAAGATGGTTGAATTTTAAAAAAATGTATACTTGATTGACAAGATGATCCATTAGAATAGAAGCAAGTTTTTGGTGAAGCTTGCGCACTTTGATGATACATCGGTTGTTGGAAAATTTATAGTCTACAAGTTATTTTTCATGTACACTGAACATACAGCAATTGTCCTAGCATTTCATCTGTTCGGCAAACATTTTGATTTTAATCTCTCTTTTTGTATTCTTCAATATTCATCATGACATAAGCTGGTATTGTGCAAAATCCGAAAAAGAACACCAACACAGCTACACCATTTTCCTGTGGAATACAAATTGGGAAACAATTCAAATTTAGACTTTCTGAAACCAAAAACCTTATTTATTCAATTCATTTAGTCTTTGTACTAGCTTACTCCAGTAGCCCAAGGTCTACTGTAAATTAATAATTAGGTTTAGCACTACTGTAGTTGTAAGGTCTAGCCATATTTTATGTTTCATTTTATCTAGGCATACATGTAGGGTGGCAAAGGTTCCAAGTTGCCTGAGTTTACATGCCATCTCCCAGTCTCCCGAATTTGTTTGAGTTCTCCCGAATTTAAAAAACTAGGACTAGGCTAGGCCTAGATATGTTGTACTTACAGTACAACCACAAAATTTTAACGTACGGCCTGTAAAAAAACATTCGCACAGTAAAATATATGATATTAATTACTAGGCCACATAAATAAAAAAACCAGAGGTATCTTATAAATTATGTTTATGACTCGACTCCTCAAAAGCTGTTAATGCTATCCATAGAACTATTAAACAACTAGAGTGCTGACAAGATGGCGGAGCAATGCAGAGTTGTGTATGTGTACCATCCAAGATGGCTGCCGTAGGAAAGCGCCACCTTCAGGCTTAGTATACATATTATTACCATGAATAAGCCCTCTGACTGAATATTATTTCATTAATGATAATTAGTATTGATAATGACAAATTATTAAACTGTCGTAGCCAAAAAGAGGCCAAGTAGAGCATCTTATTCAAATATTAAAAAGAATTAAAATCGTGTACATTACACCCATACACCGCAATGCTCGAGTTTCAAAATACGGGTAACTAGCTGTACTGAACTTTCTGTGTAAATTGAGGGCGCAATTGAAAATGACAGTGCTCAGAGGAAATTTGATTGACTGAATCTATGGCAGCCATCTTGGATGGTACACACACACAGCTCTGCGTATTTCGAACATCGAATACATTGCTGTTAGCGCTCTAGTATTCTTATTATATCTCTATGATGCTATCAGAACCTTTCGACGTTGAGGGCGCATTTCACCAACTGGCGTGAATGAGGGCGCCCTTCACTTGCAAATTCTCCAGTCTCTCAATTTTTCTAGGTTTACGGGTTGGGAAAGTCTGGGTGGGGTTGGGAAAGTCTGGGTGGGGTTGGAAAATCTGGGTGGGGTTGGAGATTGATGCTTGATATTTTGATTAAAGTTTGGTGACCTGGTGTTGCCCAGTTTTCCATACCATTACCGCTACTAATTATTATTATACTGTAGGCTAAATTATTACTAGATTACAAAGATACTGTCTGTACTTTTTTAGTCACTCCATCACAGATAGCACTAACCTAGGCAAGCAGGCTAGACATACAGTAAGTAAGGTACCTTATCCTAGCCAATAGCCTAGGCCTACCTAAGCCTAGACTAGGCCTAGTTATGCCTATGGAGGGTGCCGGAAAACTCATACCCATGCCCACTCTAATTAGGCCTAGGCCTACCCACTTTGCTTTGGCAAACCTGTACCCAAATTTAGGCCTAGGCCTCGTCTCAGATCAATCAAGTCGTGCCCAAGAATTCGATCCAACTCGGCCACAACTCAGCTCGGCCACAAAAAGTTTGTCTACAGTCAACACGGCCACAAGTCAACTTGGCCATAAATCAACTCGGCCACAAGCCATTTACTGGTACTACACTTTAAAGGAGTAATTCATCAAGTATAAAATACTAATTTGGGATTCAGTGTTTCGGCATTGATTTTGTCATCATCAGACATGATGATAACATGATTGATGTCGGAATGTTGGGACTGGGCGGGCGCGCTGGTGTTTATTTGGTTACTCGGAGTGTGTGCTATACTTTCTTATTTGAGATTTTTTTACTACATTGTTTTGCTTTTATAGTTTTATACTACTTATATGTATACGGCCTTGCACGGCCTTGATGAAAAACACCCTTGGGTTTATCAAGTTTTACCGTGTTGAAATAAAGTATTTATTATTATTATTATAATTCTTTAAGTATTACTTATTGTTATTATTATTATTGCTGTTATTATTGTTGTCATTGTTGTTATTATTATTATTTTTATTACCGTTAGTTTTAATTTTAATTATTAGTCTTAGCATTAACATTATATATTGTCCATATTTATGCTGATATTATTATTATTACCATATAATTAATAAATAATTTTCAATTTATTATTATTATTATTTATTAGTCTTAGTATTATTATTTTAATAGTAATTTAAAAAGTTATTGTTATTGGTGTTTTATTGGTATTTTTCTCATATTATTATTATTATTATTATTGTTGTTGATTGTTGTTGTTGTCACCTTTATTATCGATATTATTACCCTATTATTACTAAGTAGGCCTAGTATTATAAGTATCATTATTATTACTAATTAGTATTACTATTATCATAAAAATAAACATATCTTTAATTTATTATTGTTGTATTACTGCTATTATCACCTTCAATATCGTTTTCATCACTAATTAGTATTATTAAAATACATATTTAAATATCGTTATTATTACCATACTAGTATTATTACTATTAGTATTGTTAAAATAAATATTACTATTAATGTTGTTGTTATCACATTTATTATTGTCATAATGACTAATTACTATTATTAAAGTAAATATTACTAATTTATTGTTGTAATGTTGTTTAATATTATTGTTGAAGTAGAATGTTGTGAGTAAACAGAAGATGAACACATTAATAAATAACTCTTTTTAATTCGTAGGCAATAGCATTCAAATCACTTTTGAAGAAAAAGGATGCAAAAACTGAGATTTACATTTCATTTTAATAAATAATAACTTGCGGCCGAGTTGACTTGTGGCCGAATTGACTTGATGTAGCCGAACTTTTTGTGGCCGAGTTGACTTGTGGCCGAGTTGACTTGTGGCCAAGTTGACTTGCACCCGTCCGTGCCCAACACTGGCTGACTCGTACACACATGTATGTGTAATAATTACAATAATTACAGTAATTCCTACCTTACCTTACCTTACTTTAGCGTAATAATAAAACAAAATTTAACATTTAAATTTAGCCTGTTTTCCACAGGGCAGGTTAGGCCTATGGCCACCTAGGCTAAGCCTAGTCCTCCTAGCCTAGTAGCTAGTAGTAGTAGGCTAGGCTCCTAGGCCTAGGGTAGGCCTTAGCTAGGCCTAGTAGTAGCCTAGCCTAGGCCTACCTAGGATACCTATAGTATTAATGATAGTAGTAAGTACTGTAACACAGTGTAAGTAGGCCTAGGCCTGTATTACCTACCCATGGTTGATTTGGTCTAGTTGGAGCAGTTGCATTTATAGATCTAGATGGTTGCATCATATTCCTCATAACTGGGGTTGCCCGCATAAAAGCGTTCCTTAAAATTCCAGACATTTTCCTTCACTTCTTCTCAAAGAATCTCAGTTCTTGAATGGCAATTCCAAAATGGCGTTAGTTCTTCATAACCGACAGGGGGCGCAATATGAAGTATAAAAAAAAACATGTTGTTATAACTATTTTTCTAAGAAACAATAAAAGGTGTTTGACGAAAAACTCAGAAACAGTTTATTTTTTATTATAATATAATAATAATATTTCGGGATAAAGAAAAATACTTAGCATACACAAAACGTTATTATAACATTCGCAAACGTTGTTTCTGGCAGGCCTATGTCACAGACCTTGATGTAATATTAAAAACAACGTTGCACCATGCGTTGCTCCTGCAAGCGTTATTTAAATAATAATATAAATACGTATTGGTTTTATTGTTAGCTTAATATTTTGAGTCTATTTATACCTTTACTTTGATTGAAGTTAAAGCATTAATGCTTATTCGCCCCTTTGTCTGTCTCTTGCTTTAAACTTTTTGACAGTGTTCCAGTCTTGATGTAAATTGGTTAATTGCCTGCGAATCCACATCTTCATCCGATAAGCTATTCCGGTCAATTTTCTATTGTACCGGTATTGTCTATTATATGTTTAAAAAAATAATATCACCTTTACAGTTTAATAATAATAATAATAATAATAATAATAATAATAATAATAATAATAAGAATAATAATAATAATAATAATAATAATAATAATAATAATAATAATAATATTAATAATAATAATAATAATAATAATAATAATAATAATAATAATAATAATAATAATAATAATAATAATAATAATAATAATAATAATAATTTCAAAAATACACTTTTGAATCAGTGGCATACGTCATGCGGTGCGTTCACAATAAAACTATCGACCACATACGTAAAAAAAATAATTCTAAAAAGATATTTCAATAAAATATGCAGGAGATATTTTCATTCTTAACCTAAACTCAGTAATTCTTGCAATGCATTTTAATTCTAAGCAATTTCTGTTGTGCAACTTCTATGTATTTTAATTATTTTTCTATATTAACTAATATGAGTGTATTTAAGGATCCATATTTCATAGCTGTATTTATACCGTTGTGACAATAAAGTTCTATCGTATCGTATCGTAAACATTGACTTAACAGTTTGACTAACCATTTTGTACACTAAAAGGTGTCCCCTCCTCTTAATAGTCTCAGAGTTGGTTGTGGTATTAAAATATACATTTCGCTTCGTTTCGCGTCCCCTTATTAAATTAAAAACAAACAATTCAATAATAACTTCTATGATAAATTTTAAGGATCAATTACGTTTTTTTCTTCTATAACATACAACAGTACAAAAAGTTTACAGAATCAGCGAAGTAAAATTACCACAAAGGAGCAGAGATTGAAAAATAGAATGCTATCTAGCAAGTGGATCAATTGCAGTTTTGAACTTTATAACGAACAATTCGGTTTTCGATGGGTAAATAAGATTGTTTACAAAGAAAATATTTTCTAGATTAATTAACTTTTCAATAAATAATACTTAGATATAAATTACAAGATTCAAATACTGAGTTTACTTACTTGTTGAATCTTAAATCTTCGGCCATTAAAAAAAATCAAAATGTTATTATCAGGCTACTCAGCATAGTACTACACAATTTATTTAGCCAAACTATTCAGTATTAATAAATTGTGAGAGACGATATGGTGAAGTAGGTCTACTTACGTTCATTAATTAAGGTGAATTATACTGATGAACTTCTTAATCAATATTTATTATTACATGCTTCTGAACTAGTATTATCATAAGGTTGGCGGAAGTTAAGTCCAGCATTGTAGATCGTGAAACCCGTCTGTAATCTGCTTTGAACCAAAATGGCCGCCGGTGTAGTGGTGTAGAGATAATTAGAAAGAAATGTTTTAGTGAAGTATAAACTTACGTTGTTGTGATTAACATCAAAACCTGCGCATTAGACGCAGCAGTTATGGCGGATACTAGGCGGAGGGTTAAATTGTATGTTTTAAACGATGAAAGGCAGTGGGATGATCGTGGAACAGGTCATGTATCTTCTTCTTACGTGGAGAGGCTGAATGGAATGTCCCTGCTTGTACGGGCAGAATCTGATGGTGAGACCATTTCTTACTTGCATTCATCAGTATCTTAGTTAGCCTAGCGTAGGCAGGGCACAAGTTTCGACTGAAATTGTTTTTATGAAAGTAGATATTACTATATGTAAACGTCGTATACGTTATAGAAAACTTGTGTTTATTGTTATTTATTCAGAACATTAATCAGGCCTAGGGCCACCACAAATAAAGTACAAACTTCGTTTGTGTAGGCTAGGCCTAAACTCAAGAGTGGGTTGGTTTAGCCTAGTAGGTCACTCCATCCAGAGGGTAGGAGGTTAGGCCTGGCGTAGACTATCTATACACCCTGTGAACACAGCTAGCTAGAAGCCATGTTTTAGAGTTACGTGTATGTCATATATGACCTATGAAACAATTTGAAATTGAATATTAAATAATAAAATATTCCCCTGTATTTGTTGTGATTCGTTTCCCTTGCTCGAACTTCAGCCCAATGCATACATCAGCATTGGTTTGCCAATGCCAATTGATATTGAAATGTGATTTAAGTTTTAAAAAACATTTCTCAACTGACAGGAAATAATGAACTTCTTGCACATGAATCCAACAACATACATTAATTGCAGCTTGTGTTATTGTTTCATGACCAGAATAGATGAGGTTGTTATAATGTAATAGAAAACAAGTTATTGATTGAGGTAAATCAAGACAGATTTGAAGTGTACTACTAAATGGAATACTAGTCAACCCGTACCCTTGCCAACCTGTACCCACAAACCGTACCCAAATTTTGGACGACCCGTACACAGAATTTTGGCGTACCCGTACACATCTTTGGTCCCGTACACAGTGTACACTAACCCGTACCCAAGTTTGATGAATGATATTTTTACTATAATAAATTTTGCAAACTGTATTGTATATTTAGATAGTAATCATATTAAACTATATTATGAACTCCAAACTTACGGGTTAGAATACATAATCACCTTTAACAAGCATGCATTAAATCAAGAAATTCATGATCGCCTAGGCCTAGACCCGTTGGTCACGATTAACAGCATATGGAACGTCAATGTACACATTAGTGGTTTATTTTAATTGTTCGGAAAGTACTGTAATTCCTAAACGGTTTTGTATTTTTAAGTTTTTTTGTTTTTGTGCATGTTTTAGACTTAGTAATTGATTTTATTTATTTGGGTTTTTTTACGATGCTTGACTATACATAATATTTTTTATTTTTCAGTATGATTATTATTATAGTTTTTTTATAATTGCTATTGTTTCAGAGAAATTATAATTACAATAAATTTGAATATAATTTTAGCGTGTTTTTTAGTACAGTTATGTAGTGCTCAATATTGAAAAACAATGTCAAGAGTACCGTGGGAATCTATATTCGTGGGAAGGTATATTTCCATAAAAGAAGCCTCGAGTGCCCATTAAAATTTACAGTATGTAATTATAAACATATTAATAATTTGATATGGAAAATATATATGAAAATACTATATATTTCCTTTGTTTTCATCTGTCATTATACCATTCAGTCTATTTCAATTTATATGTATCATTTTAAACTGGTCATTAGAGCATTTAGAGTGAAGGGAAACGAAAGGTAACAGAAGAAAACAAACGTATGACAAACTAATATTTTCACAGTACTACACTTATTTCATCCTGAGTGCTGATTGAAGCCACATTTACACTTGGCACGATTACAACACAACAACGGCACAATACAGATGCGCGCAGTGTTGAAGAATACAACCTACGCGAATATATGTCGTCGTGTCGTTATCGTGTCTAGTGTAAATCTAGCTTAAGAGGAAGCGGATGCCTACTGGGGGAATAAAAAAAAGGCATGTGCCATGTTTACCTATAGAGTAGGCCGGGAAACTAAAAACAAGGCAGCATCTGACACTCAGTGAATGTGCTTGGTATTATTAGTTGTTATTATTTATTATCAATCATAATTATTATTATTATTATTCAAAATAGGTGTTTTATGTTTTTTAAACTAGGTTCAATTTTGTTGGAATCAAAGATAGAACCTGACACCGCATATCAAAAACAACAGGTAAGAATTGATACACACAGTTTAATTTTAAACTTTATTGAGCCATGGTCTTCAGTGCAAGAAGCAGGAACATACCGTACCTCAGTCTTAGCCAGGCCCCACAAAATCATAGGGTAAACTGAATATACGTAAACACTTGCATATATGACAACATGTATTTGTGGGCCAGCGTGTGTTTGTACAACAAGCTTGTAATCTGGGCCCTGTTCTGAATTGGTCTGTCGTTACAATTCCACTCTGAAAGCTCAATTGTCATACATATTGGCACTATCTTGTAAGCCTGGTTTTCATATAAATCGCTACATGCTATCGCCGACTCCTTTGACGATGCTGATTGGTCAGTTGAATCAGGGATGGTTCTTGATTGCATCGGGGACAGCTACAGTACACAGTGCAAGGATTGCAGTGAAAACGCTGTAGCTAGGCGTGTAACGATTCTTTGGAAACCAGGCTCGTCACTTAAATTTTTACAAATTAGATGACTTTTTAAATATCTTGTATAGTGAACCCGCTGCCTGCCAAAAATGATGATTTTGAATAAAATTATATTTTTTGCCAATTGCTGTAAGGCACCTGCCGCCACGGAAAAATGAAAATTTCAGAAAAAAAACACCTTTTGTTTATTTTTTATTTTCTTGTCCATCTAGCTTTTTTTTGGCAAAACTATTTGTTAAATCGAGTCTTTGTTTTTTTTATTTAGCAAATAGTTTTGCCAAAAATATCCAGACGGAGGAGAAAATAGAAATAACTTTTAATTGGTGAATTTAAACAGTGTAGTAATGGGATGGTCAAATGCTTCAAATTTATATAATTAGGAAGAAGTGTACATTATCTTATCTTTGAAGATTTCAAGGCAGCGGAGGGCGTAATAAAAAGAAAGAAAAACTTTTATTTTTACCTAAAAATTTCCAGTTTTTCATGGCGGTGGGCAGGGAGCACTAATTGGCCAAATTTTATTGTTTTATTAAAAATCATCAATATTTACATGCAGCGGGTTTGCTAAACAAGTTATAAAAAAAGTCTCTCCTAAATAAAAAAACAATATTTTATTTTTATTTTTCTATCTCCCTCTGACAATCTTTAAAAAAATAAGTTTGCGAAACAAGGTATAAAAAAAGTTTTGCCTTTCAGCGTCTCTCTTGCATGTTCATTGGTATTCCTACGTCAATCTTAATCCTATACAATCACAGAGTGGGAATTATTGGATATTTACACTTTCATGAGATACATGTATGGTGGATAAATTGAATTTTCAATCAAATAAACATAGAACAGCACGATTAATTCATGCGTCCATGAACCTCAATGTGTGTTTATTACTATTTCCTTGATGAAATAGCCATCATAAAAACATATATCTGGGGAAATCCAGAAGGAAACAAAAGTAATGTTCATGATTCTTGTCCTTGACAATATGTACGATGATTCAGAAGAATTTTTAATGAGGATTAAAGTATTCTAATAATTGTATGTTGTACAGAAAAAAATGAAACAAGTAAATTACTATATAACACATGAATTTCATAATGAATAATTCATTACTTTTAAATAGATGCTTGCTTTTCCAGTACCAAGATCCTAGGTTTAGGTTGTACAGAAAGAGATCAGACAAGTAAATTATTATATAACACATGAATTTTGTAATAAATTAATCAATACTTTTTTTTTTTTTTTAAATTTATTTATTAAGGTATAACACACAAAACAAAACAACAGCCGAACACTGAAAACGTTTGTTTACAATCAACAAATAAAGACAAATAGATGCTTGCTTTTCCAATACCAAGATCATAGGTTTAAACCTGTGACAGCGCAGGATTTTTTTCTCATGACTAAAAAAAAAAACATCTCCACTCCCTAAGTCTTGTAATGAAACTTCGCTGATAAAAGCATCACGTTGTTTCATTTAATAAGGGGCCCTGAATATCCTCTCCCCTCCAGCCATAATATTGATCCTAAACACATTCAAAATGCTTACTGGGTGTATGTATTTTCATAATTCAAAGATTAAAAAATTTTATACTGGGGTAAAATTGCACCGTGGGGAGGCTATGCTTTTACTGCGGAGTGTAAAAAGAATAATTGTAGTTTCATTTATTAAGGGGGCTCCTGAATATCAGCTGACCTTCAATGATACTTTACACTGGAGACAAGGGTCATCCTCTATATATATGATTTAAAAAATAAATAATTAAAAAATAGATACTGTAGATGAAGACTTCCAGTATTCAGTATCTGAATACAGTACTGAAAGTATTACGGTGGTAATACATATGGTACGGTAATGAGAGAGCATTTATTACAATTTTAAATAAAGTTTAATTGTCACCGATATAAAAAAGTAAATACATTGGCACGATCTGCCATCAACATCCATAGACTCCCACTAAGTAACCTTTGTAACTTAAAAGGTCAAATGTCAAATCTAATCAGGTAAATTTACCTGGCTCATTGCCAGGACGCTTGATTTACTGTTTACATTAGTAAGGATTTTAATGTGTGGCCTCCCCAATGAAGTGTACTGTAGCTCCAGGGAGGATTTCATAATTGCATATATTCATGTTATAGTTTTGTCGTGGAATTCTTTTATAGAGTACCACATTCGTGTCATCATGACGCCAGGGGGCGCTCTCTGTTGTCAACAGATGTTGGTTACCGTTCATTACGCCTGATTGACTTCATAGGCTTTTTGGAATAGGCATTTTAAAATCTAATATTTTACCATCAAAATGTACTAAAAACACAAAAAGCTCGCATTATGTTAGTTATTGAACACACATTTAATCATCAGTTACTGTAAAAATTACAAAGAAAAAGTAAGATGCAACATCTTAATAATTACGTTAGAAATTGGGATCAATGGTTTGTCAGTGAAGAAAGTAGCGTCCGGTTGAACGCTTTTGCAACGCTAGCATTGGAGTAGTATCACATGGTATCGTGACGTATTAACACTCTAGTACTCTATACCCAGTGTGATTAGTTTCAATCTTGAAAAATTGCAAGTGATAATAAGAAGAGAGCCTACCAATATATGCCTTGGTGATTAATTAACCAACAGATGCCCTGATTATGTTTAAGTAACATAGAACAAACTTTAATTACCGTAATTAATTTGCCTATTTCTCATTTATATAAATAATTAGTAAAATTATACTTAAATTATACTCTACAGTAATTAATTAAACTAAATTATAATGAAATGTTCTTGGAATATTTGTGCTTCAAGCTAAAACTTATTTTTGATAATACAGTATAATTCCTATCATGGTTTGATGTTATCATGCTACCATTTTGCATTACAGTATTTTGTAATTAGCTGAAATATGTGTTTGTTACATAATGATGCAATTTCTAATTTCAGGAAACTCTTATTGTGTGGTCCGAAAATGAAAATTGTGATCTAGCTCTTAGTTTTCAAGAAAAGGCTGGTTGTGATGAAATTTGGCAGAAAATATGTGAGGTAGGAAAATATTGATGTTTTGATGTGGCAATCGTGGCTTAGTGGTTTTTAAATGAAACTACTATGATATTTATAACATTATATTTATATTTTTATTAAGGTGCAAGGTAAGGATCCATCAGTGGACATCACCCAAGACATAGTGGAAGAGTCGGAAGATGAGAGATTTGATGAGATGCCCGATGCGGCACCTCCTATTGAACTACCATTGTGCGAGCTCAGTAGACTGGAGGAGATCTCGGAGCTCTTTTCGAGTGTGCTTCCGTCACCAATAAAACGTGAGAAGCTAGCATTAGCCATCGAGAATGACAACTATGTGAAAAGACTTCTGGAGCTCTTTCATGTCTGTGAGGATTTGGAGAACATGGAAGGTTTGCATCATTTGTACGAGATCTTCAAAGACATATTTTTATTGAACAAGAACTCGCTGCTTGAGATGATGTTCTCAGAAGATTCCATTAACGCAATGCTTGGGGTGTTGGAATATGACCCCTCGCTGTCTACACCTTACAGACACCGTGAATACTTGAGCTCCAAGTCTCGTTTTAAGGAAGTGATTCCAATCACGAACCGAGAACTTTTGAACAAAATCCACCAGACGTACCGTGTTCAATACATACAGGATACGATTCTGCCAACTCCATCCGTATTTGAGGAGAACATGTTATCTGCTCTCAATTCATTTATATTTTTTAACAAGATAGAAATAGTGACAATGATACAGGTAAATATTGGTTTACTTCTTAGTAATTGTGACCGGCTCTGGCAAAACCAGCTGTTTGTAGGAAAAATTCAAAATGGAGTTTGTAGCACTTTTTTAGATTCTGCATGAATTCTTTAATACAGTGTTTATTTGATGGAAATTGGTTGAGTATTCTATTAGCGAAGTTATGAATATTTAATTCATTGGATATCAGCCATGTAGGTTTTGAGAAAACAGCTTCCAAGATTCCAAAATCAAAAGTTTGTAAGATTTGTATTTTAAAAATAATTTCAATATACTTACTTAGATTATGTTGTTGATACTTTGCAAATGTTCTTCAATATAACTTCTTTTATAAAATGCAAAAACCTGACAATGTCCAAAATTCAGATCCTTAAACGTTTGGGCACTTGTGGAAAATTTTAAATTGTGACAAACAGAAGGTTTTTGTCAGAGCCGGTCACATTTAATTAAATTTTATGTCACATTTAATTAAATTTTATGTCTTTTGCCAATACAGTAATTCCCAATGGAGTCCCTTTCTATGTATGAAATCTATTCTGTGATACTGGTGAGAGTGTGCCACACTCTATTTGGTAATGAGTGTTCTTCACAAGTTTATATCCAAGTATTACAGGAAATGTGCACATTAATTTGCATAATAATTTTCAGTACAATATGTAACAAAGCATTAGCTACATTTGAAGCCTATTTTATTATAGAAGAATTTTCTTTAACTGTACATTTTTTGGTGTAAACAGTTTTGCTAATTACCAGTTAGCATTGTCAGTACAATTGTGGCTTGGTTGTTGCTACTTCCTATTTTTTTTCTATTACTGAAAATTCTTTCAGAATTTATAGTAATTTACGGGTTACAACTAAACAAGATACAAAATGTTGGGCTTGCAAAAATTTGCGATTGTGCGGTCAGAGGCATCATGAACGTCTCAGGGGCTTTTTTGGGGGGGAAAATTCAAAAAATAGTCTGTTGGGCTAAATTATAGTGTACAGATAACATTTTGTGCTGGAAGCATTTTATCGAGACAATTTTCATGGTTGGAGGCACAAACATTTTTTTCCAGGCCTGTAAAATGGATTGATTCAAAGTTTATATCCTATTTTGACAGCACAGAACTAGAACTATTCGTTACTGGCCCAAACAGATTATAAATTGTACAGAATATGCTTGGCTTGAATCTCCAAGTGGTCACTGATGAAAGAGTCCTACAAAATCTGGCTTTGGTAGAACACAGAATCATACATACAATATTAAATGTTTTTTATGCGTTTGTGGCAGCTTGTGTACTGTTTGAAAATGAGTACACAAATTAGCCATTAGTGCATGAAAAAATGCTCTAAGGCTATACATTTAATGGCTTTCATAAATATATTAGTAAAAAGCTGTTATAAGACTAATAGTAAAATAATAAAAATAATAGTAAAAAGCTTTCATAAAAATAGTAGTACTGTCCCAGCCAGTACCTCAACTAATCAACTCAACACAACCCAGTTGTATTTGTAGAAATATTCATAAATTATAATTCATTTATATTTATATTAAAGTTATTCAGTAATGCAGTTTATTGACAAACTAAAATCTGGAGAAATTAATGAAGTAGATCTATTATTATCAGGTAGAGAATTATATTAATAATTCTTTTTCAAATATTTGCTTTATGTGACTTCTAAATGATTTTAGGATGATGAAAAGTTCCTACCAGAGTTGTTTTCACAATTGATGGATGAAAATACGGATGATGAGAAACGCCAAGACCTTGTACTCTTCCTCAAGGAATTCTGTATGTTTGCTCAGACTTGTCAGAACAGAGACGCTTTTTTTAAGGTAAGAAAAATGTGCATGGTAGGGCCTTTAAATGTGCATGGGATCCCAAGTATAGATTCATTGCTTGTCAAAATACATTAAATTAAGGCATTATGCCTCTGAAGCAATGGATAAGCTTTAAGGCTATTTTCCACTAGGCGAATTAATTTGCATGATGCGCATTTACATTTCTATCAGTGTTTTTCGCTTCAGCGAAATCAGTAGTTTGAACTGTTTCTACTTTTTGCGAAGCAAAAAAATGTGCAACCAATCAGAACTCGGGAAGCAAACAGACGCTTTTAATTCGCGCAAATAAATTTGTCTAGTGAAAAATAGCCTTCAACGAGGAAGACAAAGATCTTGGTTCAATCTGCACACTACTCTCCACAGAAATGTTAGGTTGCTATTAATATATATATTTTTTTTTTTCTAGATGTTATCGGCTCTTGGTCTGTTGCCGGCACTGGGATATATTTTGGTAAGAAAGCTTTGAAATGTAGTTTTGCCCTTTATTCTTTGTTCTTGTTTTGTTGCCTCCTCAATATTTTTATTATATAACAAAATAACATGCAGATTATTTTACTGGCACTATTTTTTGTAACATATATTTTACTGAATGGTGAATTTCACTGAAACAGCATATACTTTAAATACTGTGGTATCAGATTCCATTACAAATGAAGTTACCAGCATAACAACTTGGTTTGCCATAGCAGAAAGCCATTCTCTTCTGTTGAGACAAGTCTAAAATATGGAAGAATTCTTGGTATTATGAGATGTATAGTATTTTGAATCCCCATGTTGTCTGATTCAAGTCTAAGACATTCCTGATAGTTTGAAAACTCAATATAACATTTTCCATGTGTTATTGAACTTAATTACTAGAAATAATTATTCATTTTAATCAGGACATTCTTTTAAAATAATATTGTGATAAGATATTAACCTACTTCCTATTACAGCAAAATATGGAAGAGCCAGTTGTGCGGCAAGCAGCTACAGACATCCTAGCGTATATTGTAGAATTTAGTCCGACCCTGGTGCGAGAATTTATACTGGACCAACGAAAACAGCAGACAGATGATGTGAGTATTCAAGCTGAAGGGTTATGTTCTCACACGGCTGCTAACGGTTAGCAGGATTCGTGCGTCCATACGAGAAATTCTTGATCCGGATACCAAAAATATGATGATCGAATCACTGGCCAATAAGAAACTGGAAATAGTAAATGCGTACTTGTGATTGGTTGATGATATAAACACGCTGAACTTGCTAACCGATAGTGGTATCCGGATACTGCTAACGGTTAGCGCTAACCAATTGGGCGTTCTCACGCAGGTGCTATCGGTTAGTGCTAACGGTTAGCTCCCGATCCGGATACTAGGGCTCTCGTGAGAACCAGGCTAAAAAGTGTTCTCATCAGATTAATTTTGGTCAAAATTACGTATGTACCGGTCAATTCATCTTTTTTTAAATTCAGTGTGAACAACCTGTGTTTTATTCTCCTTGGTCAAATTACCCGGGAAGTAAAGGTGTCCAGAAAGAATAACCTGGTGGTTTATCTGGAGCAGGAAAGTCCAGTGTGAACATTGTAATGCAATTAATCTTCCTGAACTCATCCAACCTAAATATGCCTGCTGCGGAACATTTCACAAAATGTATTCATGAATAGACCATGCATGCGCAAAATCCTACTATCTGTTGTTTCGCTAAGTATTTAAAGTGGGAATTGAAATTGTAATATAATATAGGAGGCTTGCCATCCGAAAATCAGTGTACTGTTGATAAATGTTAAACCAAATAAATAGCCTGTGGCATTATTGTATACTTTAGTACAGAGAAGCTGTAATACTTTTACTCTTAATTTTAGCAGTAGTAACTTCATTTCACTAAACACCCTATCATTTTAAAGCTTATAATGTGGACAATGTGAATATATCAAAAAGAAAATTTGTTTGTTTTGGTCGCTTATGCTTGTTTTGGCATAGCAAGCCCCATATGTACTATTTACTATTTTTGTTTTTGTTTTGTAGGACATACTACTGATGAATGTCATAATTGAACAAATGATCTGCGACACTGATGAAGGTAAATTTAACAAATATTTTTAAATTGTAGAACGGTTTAATCAATAATATCTCTTTGTCCCCGGCACTTCTGAAAAGAGTAGGGGATTGCCTAACCTTATCCTTATACAGTAGAACCTTGGTTTTACGTATGGTACGGGACCCGAGGGCGTATGTAAATCGGGGGATTCATAAAATTTATGTTGGGTTAAATTTGTGGTGAATTTTGACCTAATACATACGTAACACTCAATACACGTACCGTATGTTATGACCGAACGAACGTTCGTGTACGTGAAACAGCAACTACGTGCACAACCAATTAGTGTTAGTGTACAAAATTATGCCTACTCAGCATTGTGTAGAAAATTTGACCAGACGAGTTTTCCACACGAAGCTATGGAGGAAAGCAATTATTTTGAGCACCATCGGTAGTTGTTCATCTCGCTCAGTTCACATGGCTTTAGATTATAACAACCCAGTGTTAAACTCAATCAACGTTGCTGTTTAATGATAATGCGTAGCATATGGTCTGTTTATTGTTATAGTATTGAAATAATAAGCAGACCGAAAGTAACTGATCTCTTTTTACTTATGGTTGCTCTAAAAAGGCTGTTTGTTTTGAATATTTTCGGGATTTTTAATGACGTCATCGTCGATATGAGACGTACGTAAAACCGAGGCTTCGTATAACTGGTTTATGTAAAAACGAGGTTCTACTGTAGCATTATTAGTTATTAGAGTACATACACTAAACAGGTCAGTTTAATTTTTTTGCAAACAAGCTACTAAAGAAGGACCAGTTGCTATAAGAAATTAGTGACGTTTGGCGATAGGAAATTATGTGAAAGGTTACATAATAACCTCACATCTTATATCTTAAAATAAATCTTTTTTCTTATTATTTTTTCCAGATTTGGGTGGTGCTATTCAACTTATGAACTTAATTAGAATCTTGTTAGACCCAGAAAACATGATGGGATCAATAACAGTAAGTGCTTTACTTTACAATTTAGCCCCGTTAATTGAAATGTTCATGCCAGTGTTGGTGATACAGTATGTGAAATTGTTAATGAATAGAAATAGACATACTCTATTGTCAAATTAGAGTAGTGCAAGACTGCTTTTTGTTATGACCAATAATAAGTTGTTTAATAATAGTTACATAAAAATATTGAATTATAAAAACATCAAATTTGAAATTACAGTACCATGTGATTAGAAAATAGAGTGCCTATTTATAATTTCCTTTCAACATTATGTTTTACAGTTAAAGACAGAAAAGACAGAGTTTTTGAGTTTCTTTTATAAGCACTGTATTCACGTTTTGACAGCTCCTTTAATGGCCAACACAGCAACTCTGAAGCCTAGCAAAGGTAAAAACCATGATCAAATCATAAAATACCCAAACAATAAGGAAGAAACAATATTAAAAATACTAATAATGATAATTATGTCATTCTATTTAAAAGTATGAAAGACTTTGATGCTTGTAAATAAGTTTTTGACTACTAAAGCCATGTTTTCTTTTTCATTTATGACAATAATGTGATGCGTGTAGCACAGCGGGTTAGCACTTTTATTCTGAAGGTTGGGGGTTGGAGACCGATGCTAGCCACACACTGCTTGTCTTCTTGGGCAAGCCACTTTATCTACATTTGTCCTCTCAACCCAGGACTATAAATGGGTAGGAGGTGAATGATTTGGAATGAAATTAGTAGTGCTCATTACACACATAACTAGGAATACTCCCCAGGGAGTGGAGGAGGTTGCACGTTGTGTATGATTGATTCTGTATCCAATGACCAGGAGGAAAAGCGCCTTGAGCATACACAGTATGAGAATATGTGCGCTATATAAATATAATAATAATGATTGATTGCTCCTACTTATGTATATATTTGTTGTAAATCTATTACTTATTTTGGGGATCATTTTGTTTCAACAGATGACTATCAAACTGCACATCTCCTTAGTATTATTATGGACTTGCTGACGTTTTGTGTAGAACACCACACATATCATGCTAAGAACCACATTATTAGTAAAGACCTCCTGCGTAGGATACTCGCTCTTCTTAAATCTCAACATGCATTCCTTAACCTATGTAAGTTGATTCTCCTGTTTTTGATTTCATAATACTATTCTTTCCTTTGCAATCTGTTTGGGCTCTGTCCCCTCCCTTGTCATTTACTATAAGAATATCATCTAGGGAATTTTTTAAAATGTTTTCCTTTATATCACTTGTTTTAATGTGTTTTATATGTTTTTTGAATAAAAGTGGTTTTTAATAATGTAGGAGAATTGAGCTTAACCACAGACCAGTGTGTACTTGCATGTACATGGTACATTGTTATGTTATTTTATGTTAATATAGCATCTTCCTTTTGGGTTACAAAACGCTTTACATTGCATAACATGCATGTTTATACATAGTGAAGCATACCACACAACATTCCTATGTACATTGCATAATACTTTGCAAGCAATGCATCCATACACAATGTGCTACACACAACTTGCACATACCCTATAAAACACATGCACACGTAGCACATCACCAGGCCTAGCTTGGCTTGGCCCAGCTTGGCTTGGCCCAGCTTGGCTTGGCCCAGCTTGGCTTGGCCCAGCTTGCCTAGCCTTACGCCTAGCCTTATGCCTAGCCTGGCTACGAATCAAGGCACTCGCAAGAGATTAGTACTGAGGCTAAATCAAATTTTGTCTTGGTGCCCTTTTATGTTTGAAAATTCTGGCCTTGGTGCCTTTCCATTTGGCCTTGGTGCCTTTCAAAATCATGTCATACCGGAGGCCATTTGGCCTTGCCCATAAAATCCCCAAATTCGAGGCCTGAAAGTCTACACAACTGCATAATATTAGAACACTCAGGACATCACATCCACATAACACATGCAGCGAACCATGCATTATACATACTCAACATAGCTGTCGCTAGTAAAATTTGTCTTTCTTTGACCCTGACTCTTGTAGGTGCTGTTCGTTGCATGCGGCGTATCATCAGCCTTAAAGATGACTTTTATAACCGTTACATCATTAAAGGGAAGCTTTTTGAGCCTCTTGTTAATGCATTCCTGTCCAATGGCAACAAGTATAACCTTTTGAACTCCGCAATCCTTGATTTGTTTGAGTTCGTCAGAATTGTGAGTACTGAAGATATATAAAGAAAAGATAAAAAAAAACCACTTACTTTCTACTACAGATTGTTCTTATTTATTTATTGGAAGTTTAGTGTAAGTCTATTACAGTAATTTACAGTGTACCATTTTGTACTTGAGGTCAAATTTATATGGTCACATCACTTGTAGTAGTTAAGTAATAATAATAAAAGTAATAAATACATCACACTTTTAGTTCGTAGAATAGAGCCTTCTAGTGATTATAGGTAGAAGTAGTAGAGCTATGTAGTAGGGGTGGAGAACTTTATTAATGTGTTGGTTTTGTTTATTATTTTTATATTTATACATTGATTTCATTCATTTTTTATGTTTATGATAGAGCATAGAGGTCGCCATAATATTTACTTTATAAGTCGACCATTATTATTATTATTATTACTGTTATTATTATTATTATTATTATTATTATTTATCTAATCATTTATTGATTCATCTAATATCCTTCACAAAAAAAAATAGAAAACTGCAATACAAGGTTTTTAACTTCTATTGGGGGGTATTGATTTGTCCATTATTTTCGGTATGATTAAATTTTTCTGTCTATTATTTCCTTTTTGTAGGAGGACATAAAGTTATTAATTGTTCATATGATGGAGGAGCATGGCAGTGCCTTTAAAAACATAGACTATGTGAAAACATTTCAGGGACTTCATAAAAAATATGAACAGTTAAAAGATAGGGAAACAAACAAACCAGATTTCGATGGGTGAGTTATTACCTGGTAGAGAGATTTCAATCTATGAATTGCTTTGTTTTTGCAAGTGAATCATTAGTGAAAGTAGTATGTGCTATTATAGTGCAATATAAACTCTGTCACTTTTCAAAATTGTTTACTGGACAGCTTTATACATTCCTGCACATACTGCCTGACTTCTGAGAACTTTCCAGATCGTTCAGACCTGGCTGAAACCTCTGCTTCCTCCACAGTCCACCTATACCTAAGTCTGTCTAAATTTCAACTTGAAATTACGTTCAAATTTGATTAAATATATTAACATGTCTGTAAAAATGTAACATAAATGTATTTGTCCTATGCATTTTATTTTATTGTAGTCTTCGACAACCAAGCTCATTTCAAAACAGCCGGTATCGTCGAGACGCAAGGGCATTAGATGAAGAAGAGGAGATGTGGTTTGATCAAGACGATGAGCAAGATCCTGCTGTGATTCCTGAGGCAGTTGCATCTTTACCGGAGATGTCAGTGATCATTGATAGTATTGCACCAGAAGAAAAAGGTATTTTTATACAGCTTGTTTCTGCCTATTGAAAATGAATTTTTATTTAGAGCGAGTAAAACATGTAAATGCATAAACAATAGAGGCTGTTATCGCCAACATTGAAATTCTATTCTCTATTGAAACTATTAAACCTTTAAAATACAGTTCAATATGTGAGGTGTTGTAGGCCATGTCAATATGATATACAGTATTAAAAAGAATTCATGTTGATTTTTTTTTTTTTTTTGCAAAAGAAGAAACAATAGCAGAGCCAAAGGAAATGGACAAAGAGAACTTTGACAACAGCAACACAAATGGCCGACCTAACAGTCCTGTTAAATGTATCCCGATAGAAGCGGAGACGACGATTACACCTACACCAGTTCTTACAAATAAAACAGTTCCCACCTCAACGTCTGCGGAAGTCAAGTCAAGTAGCTTAACAAGAAAGGTATGTTCTTACCATACACGATATGGTCCTTGGTGGAATATTCAGGGTTAACTAGTCCTAAAGAACTTCCGTAGTTGGAAGTTTGTCCCAATTATGGGCAGGTCGGGAAAAGTTCTGTGACTTGCTATTGGAGGTACCGCACATTTCTTCAGACATTGTAAGACAAAAATGATGGTGATGGAAGCATTTTATAAACACACATTTCATGGTCAAATGCACAATTTTTTTCAAGCCAAATCACGGACCTACGAAAGCGAAGAAATATTGAAAATGTACAGATTCAGTTAATAGTAGAAAATGGCAGTCATTCCTTGTTCAGTTTTTATAAATTTCCATTTACTAAGGAAATTTTGAAACATGGCTAGTGAAATAAATTTTATTTTGAGATAATTATAAATATATTGATATGATAGTGCTATTAGTAGCAGCAAGGATAAAAGGTAATCTTATTAAACAGGTTCTATTAGCCTATCCAAACGATCAAAGCTTGTAGGAGCCTTTGGTCTTTTTGTTGTTGGCAATAGCAGTGTTCAGCTTGTTGGTGGTGGTGGTGTGACGGCTGAGGTAATTTGTGGTAGTAGTTATAATGAATTGGAGTTTTTATAGGGGAACATGTATTTGCAAGGAAGTTTTAAGTCATGGTCGGGAGGCTATTACCGTGAAACATAAAAGTATTAATTGCTGCGAAGCAGCCAATTCATATTCTTGACAGCAATTTGACCTCTGAAAGGTCATTGTCAAAAAACAAGGGCCTAAGATGACTGAAAAGCGGAGTTGCCTTCTTTTGTTCTGCCAGGTAAAATCAATTACTTTTGGTGACGTTTGTAGACTAACCAACACGTACCAACATCCGCATGTCGCATTATCCTTATCCTACTCTAGGCCTAGACTAGCTAGGATGGTATAGTCCTAGCCTTCAAGGGACGAAGGTCCCAATGAAAAACAACGTTGCTCCTTGATAGCTAACATTGTCTATTTAACATCACAATAATTCATTATTAGACCTATAGTTGTTTTTTGTACTCCACAAATCTCAGCCGATACCTCGCACAACTCGAGTAACATCTTGTATCTATTGTCGTGACATCATGGCTCGCTGGCTCACACTTGCGATGTCTCGCACTTGTGATCAAATAACACGCTGGCTCGCACTTTGGCAACACTCTTTGGCAGTCAACTCGCCCCTAGAAAACCCGCCCTTGGAAACTTGCCCCATAAAAAAATGTACACTTCCTAGACCATGTAGTCTTCACAATAAAAATTGTAACCTTTGGTAATCAACTACATTTTCCACATACATAGAAATTTTTGAAACTTCATTAAAAAAAACCTAAACCATAATTCACCACTATAGACACTTTATGACAAAAATGAAAAATTACGACTTTGTTACCCAATGAGAAGTGTTCTAATATAGACAATGGGTCGTGTCTCATATTATTTGTTATATTTTTATTATTCATTATTTTCACTTGACTCGCATAAATAATTTTGTTCGAAGAACAATTATATGCAGTTGTACTTCGTAGCACTTCACTTGCAATTTGCAATTTCTAGTTTAGTTTTAGTTACTATTAGCAGTTTTGTGGTAGTGTAGTTTTTTGAACTCAATAATTGATTATTTGAAATATGCATTTATTAATAATTTTTTAAATTTTGTCTTTTGTAGGGTGGGCTAGTTGATTATCCAGATGAAGACTCAGACGAAGATTCCGACGAAGACCTTCCTGTTTCCAAGCGACCACGCCTAGCAACTTAAAATTTCTGTTAAGTTTTGGCATGTGTATAGTACAGGCAGACATCACCATAGTCTTTTAAAACAAGAGGTCATTTGAGGTCATATAAACAACATGAAGAAGTGTGGTCATCCTCATTTGAATTTAGAGTGTTCTCTGTCTCTCATTGGGATCTATTTCATGTTGATGAATAATCATGTTTGCTTATGAATATTTATCATGTTTAATGAGCACTTGATCATGGACCCAAGTTTGCGCATTGGGTGTGCTGAACTTACGACAATGGCTGGAGAGCTATATGAAGAATATTAGCTGAAGTAGGCGGAGCTACAGGACCTGCAACTGCCATTCAGGATGCAAGGCCATTATTGTCCATTGAAATAAAAACGTAGAGGTTGGAGACATGCATGATACTGCTACCATTCCAAATTTCCAACAGGAATAAATCTGTTAGATCCTGAATTTGATTAAAACAAAACAGAAATACACTTTGATTGTGTTCAGACTTTACGGTGGCATTATTTTATTAAAGACTGAAAGAAAAAAAACAAGTAGAAAAAAATCAGTAGTTTTGATTGAAGGAGCTACACTGCATTGGTAGCTTGTCATGCTACTTTATGTGAATTATGGTGTGTTCAGACAGACTTAGTTCTGATATGCCAATAGACATTGAACATAATTGAATGGATTCACCTTAATTTAAAGCTCTGTTCACACTATGAAACTGTATGTTAAAAATAACTGATATATGCCCATATTTGGGTGTAATATGGCATCATCATCCCCATATATTTTGGCACATTTGTCACAAAAAAGTGATAGTATGGACAGAGCTTATCAAGTTTTCCATATATGGGTATGGTATGATGTCATGCCCATATATGAATAAATCATATTAAAGAAGACTTGATAGAGCATTAAATATATTCATCCTTAATTTTATTTAATCTATTGATTGATAGCAATTGATACCGACCTGATTTAATCTTAAAATTTTATTTACATCATTTATAGTGTTATAAGAATACAGAGGTTTTGCTATGAAACGGCATAGAAGCAATTGTGTATTTTCACCTTTGAAATGACCTCGCACTTGGTGGAAAACTAGCACTGTACCAAGATTGAACAGCCGTCATAGCATGGTTGTGCACAACAACAAATTTTGCTGTACAATTTTTCAAATGACAACTTCCCAAAGTTTGAATTTGGACACATCATTTTCATATGGGTGTTATATTTTTCCAATTGGACATGATAGCCATAAATTTAAATGGCTGTATACGTATGCGATGCGAATTATTTTAAAGATTCCATTGTTTAAATAGATTAGAGTTAGCACTCTGGTATTTTTATAACAAATTTAAGTTGAATCTCGGAACATACATGCTGCTAACCATTTTATGAAACGGTGTTATTTCCATCAATGATTGCCCAGAACATTAACAAGCTTGCCACTGTGTTTTAGCTAACATCCTTAGCTTTGATTTTTTGTTCCGTATTACCAAATAATTGTTTAGGTTTATCATTGATGAATATAATGTACTGTATATTGAAGGCAAATAATGAAATTTTCAATGCTTCTTGTGAATGTTTATGTTATGTAAGATTTTTTTTTTATCAATATGTTGCTGTTTCTGTGAGAGTTTGTTATACGGCCAGTAGAAATTGATCAATTATTATTATTAAATGATATTGTTAATCAATTATTATAATTTCAGTTATTCTTAAGCAGTATCATTTTTAAGTTCTGTTCATCGGTCTGGGATTATTGATCAGTCAGTTATTGAATAATATTGATCAGTTTGTATTTCTTAATGATAGTGAATCAGTTGCTATTAATCAATAATCAGTTATTTATTAATAGATCAATTCTTGCTAAAAACGGATAATTTCCTTCTCTCGGACTTAGTGTGGTACTGGAATAAATTTGACTTATTTTGTGTCTGAAAGTGTGAAAACCTTTTAAGCATTATGTAAGCCTTAAGAGAATCAAACTTGTCAAAATTGTTACACATTTGAAGAACATAATACAGTAATCTAGTTATTTGTATGCTTTCATTATATTTATTGTAATCTGTTGACATTGTATATGTTGTGATCCAATGAACTAGAGGCTTTTGTGTTTATGAAATAATGCTTAGATTTTTTTTAATTCTGTTTTGAACCAGCATCAAACTGGGTCATGATCTAATTAGGTTTACTGGGAACCTTGCGACCTGACTTGACCTCCTTCAGCCCTGTTGCGGACAGAGGTTATGACCTTAGGTTGATCGTGAACCTTGTTATGTCTGATTTAAAGCCTGTGGAAATTTGTATATTATTTATGTCGTAGGTGTCCATCACAGTTTTCCCATAATGGTGCAAACGTAATCATTTCTCATTATATTTTATTGTGACAAACACAATGCTGCCATAATTATTCTGTGTTGAAGTCAATTGGGTCAAATTAATGTATAGATTGTAATTGCAGTTAGTGTAGCATTTTCTTACCATTTATAGCCTGACTTGAAAAAGATATACCATTGCAACATCATCTAAACAATCATAACTTACATACATACATCCTATAATACATACATTCAAACATACATGTACAACAAAAATAGGTAGGTCTAATAATTGTATAAAAGGCTTGTACAAAATAACCCAGGTGTAGATATGAACCTTTTAAAGTCTTCTACCTCCCATATGTAAACATGTGTTAACAACATGTGAACATGTTCCAACAAAAAGAGTATTTTCATTTGTGTACACCACCTAACATGATGACAGCAACTTGAAATACCCAATATATTACATTCTCTACTTTTAATCAAAATCTTTCAGACTACATTTGTTTAGATTGAAAATGTCACATTTGCCTACTTATTTGAAAATTCTAGTAATTCATTCTTCATGTTGCATTTTGTTCAAATATTTATTTCATATATTCTGAAACATCTTACAATTCGTAGCATTAATTTGAATACATTGCCACAAGAGATAATATGCTTATTGGACCAAAGTCTGGCTGCTTTTAGTAGATAATGTAGAGTACAGTAAGTGTTGCTACTTTCTGCTACCACTATTCTGTAGTATCCAGTCCAACACTAAAACTCTTATTTATTGAGCTACAAATTATACTGCTACCTTTACTGCTACTTTTATCAACAAGATACATACTTCAGTTAACGTTTCCGTTTTGCCATTTACGTGAATATAAACAACCGTTTAACAACCTTTGCCAAATTTATACTCACTTAGTACTAACAAATATTGTGCTGGTCAAATTCATTATGTATGTTTGGAAGAGAAAAAATGGCTTGAAATTACTGGGCAGGAATTTTGTGAATTTTGTTTCTTAAAAAATAAATATTTTTCCTCTTTTAGTTTGTAAATATTTTTATGTAATACTCTTTGTTTATTAATAGTGTATCTTTATTCTTTTTGAAATGGAACCCAGGTGTATGCACTATAAAAAAAATTGAAATAAACTTTGGGATCTTCTTAAATTGTAGCACAGTAGGAAGAAATTGAAATATAAAGTGGGGATCCTCTCGAATTGTATTGTTAATTTTAAAACATGTTGTAAAAGATAATGTGTATGAATTGTTATTTAGCGTGTTTTTTTAGTTGAATTATTTCATTATTGAAAATAATAGATGCAATGAAAAGCGGAAAAAATGTTTTAATGCTGATTATGTAATCCATAGCAATGATGTCGGTACGTATACATTAATATACTGATTAGGAGCTGTTAAACATGTCAATTTTTTGATTATCTCCCACATTGATTACAAATGCTAGTGATCTGTAGGTTGGTTTTAGACAGTGAATTTTCAGTTTCAGACTGTAGGATTCCATTGGCTCATTTTATATGTAATTTCTTAAAAGAATTTGTATGTATATGTGTGTGTTTTTTCTGATATATGAACTGGGAAAAAGAAGAGGCCGAAAGTGGTCCAAAGCCCCATCTGATAATTTTGTAGCAATTTGAAATCCCAGTTCGAACCATGTCAAACAGTCATCTGAACAACCAATTAAATTTTTGAACGTGAAATTTACTTTTATTGTTTGTTGGTCATGTGATATGTTTGGTACAATCAAAGATACTAGAAATACAAGATAGGGCACTCGCATTGTAAAAATGAGGCGGAAATCGTGCCCAACGTAGGCGGCGCCCTTCTTTTTAACCGTGCAAGTTTTCTATACTTCGTGCCCAACGTACAGGGCGCCCTTCTGTTGCTAAGTATATCCAGACGCACACAGCGCCCTTCTTTTTCCACTAATGGAGGAAAACTTTATCACTAGAGTGCGTCCGGCCATACGATTTTCGCTACAGTGTTGTCTTCTATACTGATCCATAGGCTTAATTGTTTTATTTTATATAATTTCTACTTCTGCCAAGGAATAATGTATTCACCGTTGTCACTGTCCGAGTACAATTGTACTAATTGCACAATTGTGTACAATTTTTTAATTGAGAATTGACAATAAAATACGCGACGACTTGGTAACGAAAGTTTGGCAGAAGTTTTTTTAGATCCAGCTGTAGGGGGCGTCCCATTGT